GCCATTTGCTTTGAATTTAATCAAATAAATCAACATATGCATGAAGCGACCAAAACAAATTATTTAGAATAAACAAACACCTGTTGGCTTCCTCAACTTTCCTGGTATGATTTGATGACGATTCACATTCTAATGATGATCTGCTGATGGAATCAAGAGATCGTGAGATTGTGTGAAGTCTATTTGAACGTGTATGTTGTACACGATTTATGTACATTGAAAAGATATATATATCACAGTAATGCTCGAAATATAGAAATTATTTCCAATAAACACCTGTTGATTTCCTGGTATGATTTGGATGGCGATTCTCAATGATGTTCTTACTGTTGGGATCAAGAGATCGCCAGATTGTGTGTGGTCTTTATGAATGAGTATGTTGTACATGCTTTAAAGAGATATACATCACAGTAATAACTATTCTAAATAGTCTGAAACTAAACGGTAAATTAAACATGTATTACCCCATTCAGACATGTATGTATCGGTATGGGAATAGTCACCTGCGGAACAAAGTGTCCCATGTTGAGATTCAAATCTTGAAGACAAGGTCAGTCGTGATAAAAATTTCAATAGCGCGATTAATGAATTGTAAAATAATGATATAGATAGCCTCTATAGCTTAAACAGGTCGTATTGTAAAAATATTGTTCAGTTCTGCTCATCACATGTTGAGCAAAATATATTTTAAGCTTGGATCATACATTGGTGAAATATCTAAGCTCTATGTTAAGCAGTTTCCTTGAATCACCCCTTTCCCGGCAAAGGCATCGAATGGATGAAAGAAGAAAATGGGGTTGAACACCCCGCGTTTCTGCTTCAACCGGGATCATGAAGATGGGCTTAATGTCCTATGGGGGAACTATATTCCAACTGTTTTGTTACGTGCACTCCAAAGTCTACATGAGGCCTCGTTTTATTATTGTCCCATCCAAACCAATAGACTGTTTCATGGAATTCAAGATTTCACATGTTAATTATAGTATTTCACGTGAATAATAGTAAAGTCATATAAAGCTAATTAAAAGTTTCCTTTATGCAATATGGCATATTGTCATTCATTTAAAATCAATTTATGTAGGGCTCTGCTAACAATCACATATAGGAGCGTCTATTTTGTTGAAAGAGTCCTAAGTATTGTAAAATGTGACCAACAAGGACATATATGTTATAAATATGCACATTCGGCGCTAATGCTTCTACACATCATATCCAAAATTTAAATGATTCGATACAAAATTGTATGTGATTGGTAGGACCCACTTGTGCACATTCTTTCGTTCTTTCTCGCTCGATCAAGTCTATGTTTCTGGACAGTAGCGTTTATTGTCATTACTGAAAATTATTCTTGTAGCCGTCATCTTCTCTATAGGAATTCTAACATGTCATTGTTAATGATGATGTCATAATGTTAATTAAAACAGGTAGATTGATAATTATCACAGTTACTAGAATCATTTAATCACCTACAAACTGTTTAACCTTTGCTCCCCTATACTCCCCGATGTCAACATTCACCCCATGATACAACTATGTCAAACATTTACATACCAATCATTTCAATCAGTCATCTTTATAATAAAATTGTCAGTACGAAAATACAATTGTTAGAATAACTAGTAGGAAGAACCAAACTCGTAACCAAACCGCTGGCATTTATTTTAATCAATAATAAAAACAACGAATAAGAGGTAATGAAACGTTTATGAAAGGTGAATACCCGACAACAATAAATATCCTGCTGGTGATAATCATTTTAACCAAAATTAGATCCTTAATATTATGCCGAATTATGCGGACGGTGTCAGATATAACAAGACAAGAGATTTTATATGGACATCCGATTTAGCGAACAATTACTACTATTGTTAACTATAGCGTAATCCTTATCATTAATTCACAAAGACTGGTATATTCTTTTCAGTCGGTGTTTAATAAACCAGAAGATTTAACCTAACATTTTCACCTGGCACGTGCACTGGACAATAAAAACACCACCTCAGTTATAAGAGCAAGAGGTTCAGTAATAAATTGACAAATAGTGGTATTAGAAAGTTAATATCAGCAACATTATTGTTGGCGCTGACGAATTTGCTTTTGATTATTATTATCAGTGTTTCCAAATAAAATGAGACAAACAAGTTTTAGAGTACCCCGAAAATTGAAAGACTAAATAAAACAGGGGATTTCTTTTTTTTTCTTCGAGTCATCAAAGCCAAGTATTAATTTTAAAAAAACCCAACAGATTAATCCAGATTAAAATGGGTTCACTGAAGCTGAGGTAAATACTGATTATTTTTTTCTCCAGTCATCAAAACCAAGTATTAATTTTAGAAGAAATGAATCTAGAACAAAATGAGTTCACTGAGGTAGAGATAACTACTGTATTGTTTAGTGGAATGAAATCAGCCTAATGGTCCGTATACACAAAATAGGATTCACTTTTTTAAAATTGCTAAATAAATATTTAATTAGAGTTTACTGCTTTCATTAGTTTTATCGTCTGCTGTATACCAGCATAAGCATCCTAAAGAACAGTCCCCCCCCCCCATACATCCATCCTCCCGTAAAACATAAATTATATGATTCTGCGTAAATTTCAAAATGACTAGCTATTAAACTTGATAGCAGGATTAGTTTTTTTTATACAATCCGGAAAGTTTAAGAATACAAGATTCTCATGTTTCTAGACTGCACATGGGATAGAAACTTGGTTTATATATTTGAAGATATAAAATTTCCTTATTATGTATAAATCCGTTGTACATATACTAATTAGATGACGATCAGAAGGCACGCGCCACCTCTATTGTTCATTTAACCCCAGCGTGTGCCACCAGGTGTACTTTTAAGGAACAATCTCCTTCAATATAGTCAACCAGTTCAAAGTTCAATAAATTATGTCTCAAATATTAATAGAATAATGATGCATAATGTGACAGAAATTGTTAAATATAACAACCAGACATAATGATCATGATACGCTTCAGAACATTAGTGTAGTTAAAATAGAAATTGTTATAGTTGAAGTTTATCTTATTTTAAATCTCTTGTTAACCTCTCATTCATTGGGTCAATCTGAGAAAGTTGTGATACATTTTATCAACGAATGGTCACCACAGTATAAATCAATTCGACAGCTGGTCCTGGTGCTAACCATATAACCGAACAACCACTAGCTTATTTTAGTGCAACAAATAAAGGGAGTAGCTCCAGAAGTAAATGATAAAGACGCTGAAATCGCGAGGAGTCATCAAATAATCCTAGAAAGATAACAATGAAAATCTCAAAGCTCTTATACCGACAGAGATAACATTGTTGCCGAAAAAAATGAACAGGGCAAGCCCTTTTTTGTGGGTGATATATCTCGTTTCAAACTTGTTATAGCAAATATAAAAAAGGAAGTTGTGTTATCCCCATCGTGGGGACTAGTGAGAATGCCATTAGCCAATATCAAAGTGATCGAGGTGCTTGTTCTTCGTGAATAAAGGTTTCGGTGCGGACAAACTAAATCTATTTGGCATGTTACGAAATCATGGGGGCAATGGAATAAAATGTCAAATCTTTGTCTAAGATTATTTGAAAATGCACGCAATTCATTCAAAAACTGCTGTTTTTCTTTTAGTTAAGGTAATTTAAGGTAATTAATGATTTAATTCCTGGCATGGATAAAGATGATCATGATTAATTGCTATCGGTTACTAGGTGACTAGCCGCTGGGTTCGATCCTTGGGATTTTCCGGCGAGGCTTTCCCTCACTAGGACAGCGCATAGTCGTTCGAATGAGACGCAAAAACCGAAGTCCCGTGTACACATTAGCGTACACACGCGTAAAGGAACCATTGATAGTTGGAATTTAACTGTTGTCCGGGAAAACTTACCCTTATAGCTCACGGACTGTATGGAATATGTTCGTCTTCATTGTCCCGTGCAGAAAAATAGGACATTTAATCCTCTTTTCATTCATTCATTGATTTTAAAAAAAGGACAAGCTATGTTTATTTTCTATACATCACAAGAATGTTATATAACGGTTTTATACACCTACCATCTTAAGTCTTCTAATTTAATGTGAGGTATATACTCCAGTCTGTCAAACTTCCTCAATTAGTATTGTTTTTAATACTTCATATCAATTACTAGACTCTTTAGTGCAATATCTTTCCACTGTGTTGATTTTAAATAGTAAATACCCTGACAGTTGATTATAGACAATCTGTTACGAGTTTCAGGATTTGTATAAAGATCTGATCTGTATCTTGTATTGGGTAGCCTCTCCTCATGTAATCTGATTAAGACAGTATTATACACTGAAAAAAAACTTGTGTTGAAAGAACACAAACTTGTGTTAAATTCAACACAAGTTAGGTGTCTCTATTTAACAACACAAACTTGTGTTAAAACAACACAAAACTTGTGTTAAATGTTGAAACAACACAAAACTTGTGTTAAAATGTATCAAACAACACAAAACTTGTGTTAAAATGTATCAAACAACACAAAACTTGTGTTGAAACTTGTGTGAAATCTACACAATACTTGTGTTGAAACTTGTGTTGAAATTTCTGAAACTTGTGTTGAAATTTCTGAAACTTGTGTTAAAATTTCTGAAACTTGTGTTGAAATTTCTGAAACTTGTGTGGTTTCATACAAACTTGTGTATAACCATCATCAAAAACTTGTGTTGTATTTTTCCCCAATTTATATCCAGCATAGCAACCTTTCTATGCAGGACCCCTCTCTTTGCTCTGTTAGACCTGTAAAGTTTGATAAAAGAAGGAAACAAAAAAAAATTTTGTAAGATTATTTATTCATAAAATCATAGGAAAAAGTAAATTAATACATCAAAACTAAATAGATATTTGAAATGTTAACAGAAAAACAGAGACTTCAATTCTAATACAAATTATATTGTGTAATATATAATGACCCCTCCCCCCCCCCCCACTTTACCCATCACAAAATATAAAATAGCTATTTAAATTGTTTTTTGCCCCACACACTTAACCCATCACAAAATATAAAATAGCTATTTAAATTGTTCTTTACCCCAAAACAAGAACTGAGAATATAAAGATATGTACACAGTATCCCTACCCCATACCCCAAAATATATAATTCAAATATATCTAAATTTAATAACATCCAAACTAAGCACTAATAAGATTAATTATGCACTAAATTGAAACAATTTCAAAAACTGAAAAATGCTACAAAATCACACTACAAGTGATTTGTGAGGCATCTAGAAATAACTAGCATACACAGAAAACTAACAAAAGAAAATTGCTCTATTTTGCAGGAGTAATAAAATGATGTAGAGCCTTTTCCTCATTAAAAAAAACCCAAACAAAATGAATATTTTATAAATAAAAGAAGCAAAGCATCAAGATTACAGGATTGAAATAAAAAAATATCATATGTACAAAAGATTTATATACAATCACAAGTCATAAGCCACAGTGGTTCAGTGAGCATAAGGCGTTGGCCGCGAAATTTCAACTGGATTTTCCGGCATAGTTCCCACTTTTCAGTGTTGGATATGGCAAGGGATAATTGGGTACAAGCCCAGAATCAAAAGAGAGAGAGACAGAGAGAAATGGGGTTTAACATCTACTCGACACAAACTAGATCATTTTGGGATTAACATATGGTTTAATTTTATTTCAATAATTCGCTAGCGCGTAGGGGTCTTTAGCAGTGGGAGGAAACCGGAGGTCCCGGAGAAAACCCACAAGATTGGACAGGCGACCCTACTCCTTGTCTACAACCGGGGATTCGAAACCATGCCAGTTGACTCAATGACAGGAGGCCGTATGATACAGCATGCACGTGCTAACCATTCGGCCATCCACCCCCACCCCCCAGAACTGAAACCAACCCAACTGCGTACACTTTGAAGAACCCTTGAAAATTGAATTATTTGAATCAATGACAGACCTTCTGATCAAATGTGTGCGTGTTAACCATTCGGCCCCCCTGGGTACCCTTTAAAGAACCCTTGACAGTTGAAATATTTGATATAAGGGTAGGGTAGAATCACTCTAAGAACACAGAAAAGCAGGATATTAAAACGTATTTCATTTCATAAGCAAGGGAAAGTCACCTTAATGTAGGTCAAGGTTTTTTGTAATTCTGGGTGTATTTGATCTACATTTGGTTTCTAGTAATGCCTATTAAATACTTTATGATTTCCGACCAAATTCTAAGTGATTTATATGTCAGTTTACTTGCTATATTATACATACATATTTGAAGAGAATTAAAATCTAATTGTGTTTTGGAAGAAAATTTAACATTAATAACAAAAAATAAATATTTAAAAATTGGGTCAAATGCATTCTTTCCCAGAAGTATAAAATAAATTGATGCTTGGGTTCTCTTGTTGTTATCATACACCAAATACTCTTTCAAGGGTGTTCCAGCCTAAAAAATAAAAAGTAGGCAATAAGAATACAATGTTTAAATAAACAATTTATTTTGCCACATCGAGACTGAGTCTCTATTTGGTTTCAACTTTGCATAACGCTAATAAACAATTTATTTTGCCACATCGAGACTGAGTCTCTATTTGGTTTCAACTTTGCGTAACGCTTATTGTGTCTTGTCCACTTAAAGACCCAGGCAGATTATTATGCTCAAATCAAATGGGTTAAAAGTCAGAAAAATGAAATGAAATGGGGTTTAACGTCCTACTGTTCTGCTCCTATACTGGGCTAATAATGACGGGCATATGCCACACAGTGTGCTATGAGGGAATTTTTGCCCGGGCAGCGGCACTATCATCTATTCTTATATCGAATTCCAACTGCCAGGGGATCTTTTACGTGCATTCCAATATTCGTCTCATCGGAAGGACTAGACAGCTGTCATTGTCAGGCCAAGTCAGAAAAAAGTCTTGAGATTTGGGACTGAAGTCTCATAATAGGTCAACTATTCACCCGGTTCATACATGTATTGTCTGCAAATCCAGATTCCCTACTACATCATTGGCAGCACCTATTTACTTGGCAATGTCTAATTATTTTTGGACCCATTCTTATTTTATTTCCATTGACAACAAATTGGATATTACCCTTTAAAATCTATTGAAATCTATTTGAAAAGTAAAATATTGTCCATCATTATTTTACTGCTATTTACTGTAATGGATGTGATTGGCAAAAATCAAGCATGCCAAGTACTTGAAATAGCTGAGTCCTAGGCATTGCCCCAAGAAGAATAACTAGATTACCAAGCAAGTGTATAGAACTAGTTGATGATTAAAAATACAAATATGTATGTTACTTACATTTTACCTGATTATCAAGCTCTGTGAGAAAAAGTTTCCATAATATGAATAGCCATTTTCAACTGTCTTGATCTTTCTGATGTAGTTAACGGAGAAAAAAAACATACTATGTATTAGTTGACTTAAATCGACTCAACGGTTAAAAGATGAAAGTTTTAATTTAATTACATTGTATTGTAATGTGTTGGTTTGCTTTGTCACAGATGAGACAAAATGAAAAAAATGAAATGGAATGGGGTTCGGCATCCTACTGTTCATGTCGGACTGGGCTAATGAGGTTGGGCATATGCCATACAGTGTGCTATGAGAGAAATTTTGCCGGGTACCGTGACCCTAAGGCCTACTCTTGTATCAAATTCTAACTGCCAGGGGCTATTTTACATGCACGCCAATGTGTACACGGGACCACGTTTTTTTGTTCAATCTGAACGACTAGACAGCTGTCCTTGTAAGGCCCTCCGTTCTGCATTGTCTTACTGCAAACCCGCGACCTTAAAATATGCGAACCAGTGTCTAACCCACTTGGTCACCGTAGGTCCCCACAGATGAGATAGTCATATCTACATGTATCTGGACATAAGTAAGATTCTGTCTGTGCACATACATGTACTTCACAGTTTTACTATACTAAACTGAATTTTAAATTCCAAATAATAAAATGAAATTAAGGTTTATGTCACATCAGCTCCAACCGGGCTATATTGTGCCAAACACATTATGGTGAGATTCTAAAATACCACAACAACAATCTTTTCTATTAGAATTGAACACTCACCCTCAAAAAACAACTATGAGAAATCATAGGTGCTCAAATCACCATTTCTTCAGCTCTTTTTTTTCCCATATTTGGGTTTTTTGACTTATTTTATTATATGATCTTTGATTTGCTATGGCATCTAATATGGAAACTGAAAAATATAAATATGTGACATGTAATTAACTGTTTAAGATACCTTACCATATACAAACTGTGTGATATCTAAAACCATTTGAATCCCGAAGATCTTACCCAAGCCGTGAAAATCTGTTTTAATAACCCTTGTTTGTCATGTGACTGGACTGTCACAGTAATTAGAAGAGAGCCATGTGGCTTAGTGTGTAAGGCACTGGCTTGCTACCCGGGAGTTTGTAGGTTTGCTCCCAGTGTTGACCGAGAAAGCTCATTTGGATTTTTCAGCATGGATTCCCTGTCTAGTCGTCATGGTGGCTAAGTGGGTAAGACGCTGGCTCGCTAGCCTGGAGGTAGGGTGTTCTATCCCTGCATTGGCCGAGAAAGTTCACCCAGATTTTCCGGCGTGGTTCCCCCTTGTCAGTGATGCAGGATGGAGGGCCTGACAAGGACAGTTGTCTAGTCATTCGGATGATACGAAAAAACGAGGTCCCGTGTACACGTTGGCGTCCACGTAAAAGATCCCTTGACAGTTGGAATTCGATACACCGCAGTGCCGCTGTCCGGGCAAAATTTCCCTCATAGCACACTGTGTGGTGTATGCCTGTCTTCATTAGCCCAGTTCGGAGCAAAATAGTAGGACGTTAAACCCCATTTCATTTCTAGTAGTTTCAATGGAACACAAAACCTGAGGTCCAATTGGCGTGCATTTAAGCCGATAGTATGGTAGTTGGAATTTGTTGGCTGTAGCACCCGTGTCACAGTTCGACTGCTAGTTTGTGATACCCACTCGATATAAATGAGTGGTGATTGGCTAATGAATTCTAAAATCAGACGAATGCTTCGGCGAAGCGGACAGCAGGACACACCACTCAAATACAATTCGACCAAATATATTAAACATGTTTGATTCGGGCGTATGTCAGTGGATAAACTAGGTGAAGTTTAGCGCCAATTGATTCAGCCGAATCCTTTGGCTAGTTTATCCAGTACTGACGATTTAAGTTTGTACTTTCTTTATATGCAAATATCACATTTGAAAGAGGCTGTAGGCCTACTTTCTTTATATGCAAATATCTTATTTGAAATAGGCCATTATTATGTGATTCCCCACTTGAATGTGACTAGGAATAAGGTCGCCTGTCCAGCCTTGTGGGTTTTCTCCGGGTCCTCCGGTTTCCTCCCTTTGCTAAATACCCCTAGGGTGTATTCGAAACAGTGTTCCGGTGCAGAGAACGGACGGAGAATGGGTTCTTGTCGGACTTGAGAAGTCTGGAATGCGTTCACGAACACGTTCCCGTTCTCAAATCCCACACTACCTCATAGCTGGTGTGAGGGAGAACAAACATGGTCGACGCATCGATAACTGCTGAGAAAACAGCATCATGGGTGCATTTATTAATTTAAAAGTTTAATACCGTTCGAAAATTGGATGTAGTATGTGGCCAGTATAACATCAAATAAGTTAGGTTGCCAGGCAACGAAACATATGCCCACAGCAGTTTAATCGTTTGCTCAGTCAACAGGGATTGTCCCATATTCATTCTTTTGTAGGTAATGTGGGCATTTACAAGAAAAGATTATAATTTTTGTCGTTTGTGGGTTTACAAAGGTTCTACAAACTGAAACAAGGGCCTTAATTGTTGAAATTTGACAGATTTTTTTGTTTTGTGTTTTACTAATTTAAATAATGCATACAAATCGGATGATAATTTTGTTGTTCGCGCATTCACAAGGTTCGAAAAAGTGAAACAAGGGCCACAACTCTAGACATAATTCACGGAAATCGCAGAAATTTAATAGACGTCTTCGTTTTACTAATTTAAAAGATGCAAATGAATTTCACAAAGTGAAACAAGGGCCATAACTCCAGAAGAAACTAACGGAAATTATTGAAATTAAATAGGATTCATCTCATTAAAATAAACAACATATCAATTTCAAAATAATCAGGTCTGTAGACGACGGACAAACCTACGGACGAGGGCGATGACAATATGCGACCACATTTCCATGTGGGCGTATCAAAAGGTGATGTAATCGTCATCCAAAGAATTGAAAAGGAGTAAAATGGAGTCATAATTTATCATAAGTATGCCTAATAGCGAAGTCAATACCAAACAAGTTATCGTAACAGATTGTATAAATTTAATTCATCTTGTTACCATGGATACCGTTCTCTCATGTTCGAGACTCATGAAAGTGTTTTCATGTTCTTCAGCCGTTCTCGAACCTGCGCGAACACTGTTTCTAATACACTCCTACGGTACGCGCAAGCAAATCATTCAAATAAAATTGAACAATATTAGCCTCAAAATTACCTAGCGCCAGTAAGTATAAAGGATCTATCCGACAAACACTAACAACAACTCTAGGTTTATGCAGAATTAATATAACACAACATACACAGATGGCAATAGAATGAGACAGTGTTCAGGAAAAGGGCGGAAACGGAAGAAGACTACCCGTCCTACTTGATTCTAGGACATAAAGCATGGGCCTACTTGATTCGACCTTGTCTGCGATATCACCTCGGTGGAAGCGGACGTAAAATACAACTAACCCATCATTGATTCGACCAATTTAATACAAGGAAATGAATGGCATAGTTTGTGTCAAGTGAATTTAGTGAATTTTAAACCCCATTTACTCGCCCTCTCTCTACAGAGATAAATACTTTTCCTGTTACATACAATAACAATTATTGGCCATTATTTAAAAAATATATTAAAAGGAAATGAAATTCTGTTACCTGTTTTTCTTTGTGTAGTACATATGCTAACATCAATGACTGGAAAAAAAATAACGAAACTGTAGAGAAACTTCTGAATCATTGAAAGTCTAATTATTAGGCCTACACATTGATGACATTGATATAAAAAAAAGGCTGATTTGTTTGTTGTTGTTTTTTTCTTTTACAGAAATATTAAGATTACATTTCAAATAAACAACTAACACAAAAGTTAGTATCTAGCTATAGTCCATGTCTGGATATACATTTCTCCTTTTTTTTGGCCCGAACGTCTATAAAAATCAAAGATGGCGGCCAATAATTGCAACCGGGCATTACTATAAAATCAAGACAGATTCTTACCTGCTGGTCCTAGTCGGGGGTTTCTTGCAATTATAAGTATTTGAACAACGGTGTAGCGCCGATTAGCTAATAATAATTAAGCACGATTTCAGAAAAATTAAGACAGATTCATTAGATTGCTGAATTAGCGGAACACTACATCTAACTGAATGTCGCTGATATAATATCAAAGAAAGAATTTGTCGCAATGACTAAAGTATAGATACTTCTTCTTAGTTAGTTGTATTTTACGCCCGCTTCCACCGAAGTGATATCGCAGACAAAAAGTATAGATAACTTGGAGAACCATTATATCAATAAGTCAATTATGAGATACACGTGGATGATCAATTAAATTTGATTGGTTACTTTTCAGTTAACCAATACTGTCCAATTTCGATTACATCAACCAATTACATTATTAAGAGTTTTACTCATTTTTTTTGTTCATTGCACATTGAATCAATTTTCGAAAACACCAGGGTGCTGAAAATCACATGTACACTATATATTCATTTGGTCTATCAGTTTATTGGGTCAATAAAAAAAGACAGACATTTTAACTATACAGACAACTTAACACCAATTAACATTCAAGTCTGTCTGGCAATTGTCTGATTAATTGGTACTCACTCCCTTCCAGTGATTTTCGAGATGTGAATTAAGCCCTTTATTACTTTTCTTAAAACTTGACGACTCCCGAATTCAGACTTTGTATGGAGTTTTTTTCTTAAAAAGAAAACAAATCGTGGAAGGTACACATTACTTGTGTTAATGATATGAAAAAACACACAAGATTTTATAAATCGACACAAGTTTGTGTTAATGCAATGCAAAACAACACATAACTTGTGTAGATTAGTTTTAACACAAGTACTTGTGTTGAGATCCAACACAAGTGTTTTTTCAGTGTAGTAAAATATGGACTGACAGGAGGTGTAACCTGTGGAAATAAAAAGTGGAAGAGTCACCTGAATGATTGAATTCTTTTAGACAGTTGTGAAAAATTAGATAGAAAACCTTCGCCAAACTTCCTATCTTTCATTTACTTTCCTTTGGGCGACGTTCCTTTGATTGACAACTCGGTCATTTGGTCACATTGTACATGTATTGTTATTTATTTTTGTGAAATAGATCGCATTCGACTGTGTAACGTCAAATTACTAATAGACCGTGGACAACCATTCCATAAATAAACTTATAGTTTCGTGAGAGCAAACCATTTATATTGATCTATAAAGATTAAATGTCTGAACACCAATTATTATTATAATGACTCTGAACAAAGATATTTGGTGTTTTAATCAAAGATCAATATGTTGCTTTTCAAATGTGGTGATTAAGTAAGGAAGATTGTTACAACTGTCAGTAAAATAGATAGGGTACCCTCAAATGAAACATTCCAGCCTCCCCTACCATAACAACGTTTGATAAAAGTTTGGTTTCTATATTAAAAGATTAAAAGAGACAACTCTTTGTTGTTCAAATATTCATGAATTTAGTTGTTATGCCATTACGACCAGTATCTCGAACATCATTCACGTGCAGACTTCTCACAATCATGAAGATACCCTTGAAATACAGATACACGTTAAATTTACCGTATTAATCTTGTTTGGGTTTCTGAGCCAGATGGGTATCAATACCTGAATAATTATTATCACAGAAAGCGTCTACAAACTATAGTGTTTGATCCCATACATTAATAGAGTAAAATATTTCATTTGAAATCAGTCTACGATAGAAGATCATTTGAAATCAGTCTACAATAGAAGATCATTTGAAATCAGTCTACGATAGAAGATCATATGAACAATATCTGTGAAATTCTGAACATAAAATACTCTCTCGTTTGTAAAGTTGGCCTTTTTGTACATAAAATTTCAATTGTCACATATTCTGTGGTGGAAATGTAATGACAAATTTAGTATCCTCTCTGCTTCATATTTATTTTTAAAATACAATTTGAGTACAATGAACGTCAACGGCCCACCAACCAGACGGTATAAGATTAGATCCTGATGTTGGCCGAGAAAGTTCCTCGGGATTTTCTAGAGCGGTTTCCTCTTGCCAGTGGTAAAACACCTGATAAGTAACAGAGTCTAGTATCCGGTTGGACCCTTGCGTTGACCTTGAAAGTTCCTCAGGATTTTCGAAAGTGGGTTCCCCTTGCCAGTGATAGAAAGCCTGACAAGGTACAACGTCTAGTCTGTCGTATAGGACTAAAAACCGAAGTCCCGTGTACTGGTCGGTGTGCATATAACGAAGATGAGTAAGCGGAAACGCAACTGCCCAGACAAAGGTTTCCGCAGCAGACTGTACGGCTCTTGTATTTTTTCATTAGCCCTATTGGATGCAGAAAAGTAGGACGTTAAACCCCATTTCATTTCAATTCATGGACGTTAACATGAATTATAATATATAAATTTCCTTCATACAAGTAAGTATACACTGCATCGTCACCTCATCGTTAATGCGGCGTTACAGTTTGAATTTGAATGACAAAGCGTTTTTGTTAATTCATATTTACACAACCATTTTCTTAATTTAAGAAACTTCACAAATAACATGAAAGCAAATAATATCGGAAGCATTTGTCCTGGGAAGCTAGCAAGTGTTGACTGCTTCAAGATTAAGGTATTATGTGTAACCTATGTTTAAATATTACTGTTGTCATCAAATTAGAGGTAAAGATCACGAATCATCTGCTCAATTAATACCGTCGATTCATGAGAGTGAATTAAACAGGATTAAACCCAGAAAGATGAAAGGCGGCGATAGTGGAAGTAAAAGTAACTATAACCCACAATTATTATCTTTAAGATTATTGGTATACTGAATGAATGAAATAGGGTTTAACGTCCCACTGCTCCAACAGGGATATTTAAGACGGGCATACAGTGTGCTATGGAGGAAATTTTTCCCAGACAGCTATTGAATTACAACTGTCAATGGTTATGTTACGTGCACGCCAAGGTATACACAGGACCTCAGTGGTATTGCGTCCGAACTAGACGTTGTTCCTTGTCCAGCACTCTATCCTGCACCAGGAAAAACCTCGCTGGAGAATCCAGTGACCTGTTTAGGACAACACCGGGATCGAACCCCTGACCGCCTGGTTAGCGAGTGGGCAAGTGCCTTACTCACCGAGCAACCCTGACTCCCTATCCCCAGTACTGGATCAACATTAGAATTACATGACACCCTTCTTAGACCTTTACATGCAAAAAGAACTTAGTGAACATTAATCCCTTCAAGGCACATGACTATCTGTTATATCTTGGAATAACATAATGGTAGATAAATCGTCTGGTATACTTTCTATTAAGCAATAAATCTTGAATGAAGAATCCGATTAGTATCTTTAACCACAGCTACGAGTCTCGTCGTGATTGAAATTACATAATGTTAATGTAATAAAAATAAACAAAACCACAAGAAAGTCATAAATGTTTCGCCCTCAAGGAATAGAACAAAGTTTTAGTGATATTAAGTCTTTGATGAGATGATTAGAGAGAAGAAGATAACAGTTGGAAAGTAATCAGATTATATTTATTATTACTTAGATCGCAACCCTTTTAATTGATAACTCACGGTGGTCAGGGAGGTGTGGATATCTACACTATAAATAAACATAGACATACTCTGATTGTTAGTTCAAACCTTCTCTTTGGTGCGTCGACATTTCCTATGTCCTAACAACCATCCAGCTTTCTGTACCCTTTCTAATTGCAGAGATTTTTAGAGTTATAAATTCATTTACTTTCTGACCCACAAGGCGTTTTTGAAAATTGTAGGTCCTCTTCATTGACAAATGTCAACATGGCAAATAGAATGGATTAAACTTGTTCATTATAGGACATAAGGAAAATCTTGTAATGCAGTCGCCTCCAGTTTCTGCACAGTAGGTGCTTTTAAAATTTCAAAACGCTTACATTTCCACACCGACAAACATCAGTAACGCCAAAAAAAAGAACACCTTAAAATATGTGCTTTGTCAAAACATGGAAAATACAACATTTAAAAACAACCCAGGAATCAGGATATGGTTGTTTGACCATACACAATAGACAGCAATCTTAACACAGAGGAAGTTAATGAACGAAAAACACACCCGATTAACTTTACCTGTGTCATAAACAATTGATCTTTTCAGGGGAGAAAACTCATGTTATTTTTTAATCGTTACACATTTTAAAAAAATAAACATTCCATTAGTATTATCATACGCCTCGTTACACATTTTAAAAAAATAAACATTCCATTAGTATTATCATACGCCTCGTGTCACTTGACACCTGCTGGTACATTTCGACATCATAAACGATATGACAATTTACAATACAATTTAACATTAAAAACAAACCCGCCGTTCCGTCTGTTTTAATCTAAATACAATACACAAAACCCGGCAAATATCAGCTTTTTATAAAAATATGAATAACAGCTTCAGATGAAGAGGGGCCCTCCATTAATCCCCCGCTGTCATTACTAGAAGAATATGGAAATGCGTTTTAAACGAAATTGAGCAAAGTCGAAGGTGATGACTAAGAAAAGGCCATGGCAATGGCAGTTCCAAAAATATTATACATCTTGGGGCGAAAGGCCCTTAATATCTTGAGACTCGAGGCCTTCGCCTGTCTATAGGCAAATCCGGCACTGAATAGCTTAATTTCTGTACTCAATGTGGAAACACGTGAATTTTAAATAACAAAAGCATGTGTTTTTTGTTTTTTGGGTTTTTTTTTTCAGGCATAAAGTTATAGCCGTGACTGCATGTGAATGTGTTATTTTGTTAATCAAAATCCTACGTTTATTTTCCCATGCAAGCGTCACGCATTTCCTTTTACAAAACCAGAGACTAGCTTCGTGAGTAACTCGTGGTGTTTTTAAACAATTCTTTTGAAACTGTTAAGTTTTGTTGTATCAGAAGACTGGCTTCACGAGTAACTCGTGATGTTTTCAAACACATCTTTTGAAACTGTTAAAGTATTGTTGGTGTAGTCGCTATTATTCGGATCAAAATATTTTGATTAAATCCACCTGACTAGAATCTGATATTTTACTTCCTTTTAACCAGAACGTGGAGATTCTTTATACCTTGTCATTAATGTAAACAAAAGGGGGCGTAATTCTCGTGCAAAGAAATGCT